AATGTGTAATTGATAGATGAGAAATTGATATTTGCATGCATTAGTTATATTTAAATCTAGATTACACGCTATCGTAATTGTGTTAACAGGTGATATCATATCATTCACACGAAAGTTCTTTTCATTATTCATATCTAATCATAACTTTAACTCGCTGGAACATTTCAATGTAAGAAATAATCAAATAAACTTGAATTTCTAAACAAAAAATTAGTTGAAAAAAACCCAAATTCTTTCCAATTTCCATTTAATTTTTTTTGTTGACTTTTTTTTTTTATTTTTTTCTTTGGAATCTCGTAATCGATCGTTTAAATAACTATGATTCACTCGTCTCACAATCATCGAACTCACATAGGTGGACCGATTCAAAGCTGCTTAATAAAGTCCCACCGATCGCGATATTTCACGAAACGAACGAACCACGTTCTCACAATAGTGGTCGTTAATAATGATTTGTGCTCGGCTCGTCCTCGAACACGAGAATCGCCAAAGCTAACTAAAGAGGTTTCTCTTTCTCTCTTTCTCTTTTTTCTTCTTATTTTATTTTATTTTTTTTTTTATTATTTTTTTTTTATAGGAACAACAGCATCAACAGCAGCAGCAACAGCAGCCAGTGGATATCCAAACGATTAAAACAAAAAAAAATTGTCTACTCTCGTGACAACTTTAATATCTTTCTATAATATTTCAACTAAAAAATTCATAAATCAATCATAAAATTCAAATTTTACATGTCTATAGAAAAAGGGCTAGGTAGTCAAAAGTTTCCAACCATTTTTAAACCATAAAATTGCATAAAAAACAAATAATAATTTTAGCTTCGAGAAGAAAAATTATTTAAAATAATATCAACGAGACACTTTTACAACAAATTACGAAAGGTTTGACATGTTTTCTTTGTCGTAAAAATGTCTCTTTCCAATCGTTCATCTCAATCTCGTCAACATTTTTTTTTCATTGTTTTACAGCATTTTTAAGAAAACAGAGTTGGTGTTGGATTTCAAACAGGTTGGAGTTTCATATTTAAGAGAAATATGTTTTTGTTATTCTTTCATCCCTTTTCTAACTTCTTTTGTCAAATGAATATAATAAATAAAAAAGATTCTCTTAGGTATTCCTAAGAAAATGGTTAGTATCTGAACATTTTGACAAGCAGGTGTTCGCTTTTCAACGAAACTTTTTCACCATTAATATATATATTTAAAAATTCTCAAAATCTTTTCATTTTTAAAATCATTTGCATAACAATGCTGAAATATCATATTTTAAAATTCTAGGTATAAAATATATGAACCTTCTTTACCATTAAAAATCGAACAATGTCATGAAAATTGACTTGTATTATTAAAAAATTATTATATATCTGAGAAAATTATATTTCATATATCAAATACCACAAATATTTTAATTTTACAATAATATGCATATAAAGGATTGAATAGAAAGATTGAATTGAAAGAAAAGAACATAAACTGTACGGATAACAGTCGAATAAATAATCGTTGTTAGAAACCAAGTGGACACACTTTGATTTCTCATGAAAAGAAGAAGAAGAAGAAGAAGAAAAAGGAAAAAAAAGGTCAGATCGATCCACGGATCGTTAATTTCAAATAAAAGATTATAATGATTGAAAGTTCACAAAGGTAACCCGTTACCATCGTCTTATTATTTAAGTAAGACGTGAAAGTCTGTGAAACGACGACGTTCGTTACTGACCGTTTGCCATTTTCTTTGTTCTAAATAGAAAAATTTTCAAGTAAAAGTGTCTATTACCAATACACACATAATCTAATCAGGTAACTAACATCAAGAAGGTTACATCTAACCGCGTTAATAGCTCGTCTCTCATCCAAGGGACATCTGGTGAACGCAAAATCACGATTCTTCCCATCATGCAACGCATTATAACGAGCTTTCCTTTTTCTATTCGTACCTTACCTACGGAAATATTAATTGGCACTTTGGTGATTACGTCAGAATAATAAACGCGTTGGCTTTCACATCACAACCTGTCCTAACCATCTTCTCTCTTTCTCGCCATCTTCCTCTTCGTCTTTTTCATCGTCAACGTTGTCGTTATTGTTGTCATTATTATTGTTGTTGTTCATCGTAAATCGAGACGGTGGGATAATTTACGATCACGTTTTTGTGTTTTCACTTTAGTTAAAAACTTAAATGATTTTACTAATCACCCTAATCAATTGTAATCACTGATACTAATGAAAAAAATCAACGAAGATCTAATGAAATACACAAACTTGCCGAGTTAATTGGATGTAAATAAACGGGAATGTATTATAATCATATGGGAAATAAATAATTTTATGATTAGAATTAGAGAAAGAGAAATACGCAAAAGATACGGGAATAAAAGTCGAACGAAATCGAAGAAGAAGAAGAAGAAGAGTCGTCTCAACGCTGACTCATTTCGAGAACTTGCAGCTGGTTCAAGATAGTCAAGTTGGAGGTGGTGTTCAACGCGAGCTGACCCCCGGTTCCTGGCCGTTACCGTTTCTGAGTGACGTCTTCATGTCTGGCTCTGCGGGGCATTCCTCCTTCTCATTGTCCGCTCGTCCGTCAGTTCCTTAACATTGGGATGTGTATCGCCAACCCCCCGTCGGCTGCCACTTCTCGCTATGTGAGAACACTTTTTTTCTCTCTAACTATCTCTTTCTTTCTCTTCGAGCGAATAAGAAAAAAAAGGAAAAATAAAAAAAAATAGCAAAACAACGTTCTCTTTCTTTCATTTTTTCTTTCACGGTTAAGGTGTGCTGTTAAATGGGGTGGGCGAGGGAGGTTCAACTAAGAAAGAAATGAAATAATATCAATCATAACAATATTTTTAAATAATATATTACGTCTATGCAAGTTTTTCTAAATTCTAGAGAATAATAATCTAGTAAAATAAATAATGGGATGGGTGTGAAAAGAGGGAGGTTCAACTAAGAACGAAAAGAATTAATATCAATCATAGCAATATTTTAAAATAATATACTACGTCTATAAAAGTTTTTTAAAATTCTAGGGAATAGTAATCTGGTAAGATAAATAATTGATGAGACATTAATAATTAATGTCAATTTGCTAATACTAATAGAGGAACAATTTATTACATAAGAATTTATCATTTATAAATTTTTAATTTTCCCATAAATAATATAATTACCAATAACAAACTGACTTAACCAGTTTGAACTTTGACGAACTTGCTATACTTGGTGGTATCGAAATACAACGAGTTGGCAGGGACCAAGTTTGTTAGAAAGATTGATGTCTCTTGAGCGTCGGTACGCTTTTGCTCTCATCTACGGTAGCAATGGATTTTATCGAGAGAAATGTATAAGAGAGAGAAAGAAAAAAGAAAGAGAAAGAGAGATGATGGTATAAGACTCGTACTTTTCGTGACGATTAGCGAAGGTGACGTTGCGTATTTTTGACAAAAGTAACACGCCGCTGCCGCCGACGCCGCGCCGCGGTGCTTTACCGCTGCTTCAGAATGTCCGCGTGTATCAAAGAAGAAACGACGACGATTGGAAAAAAATCAAAGATAGAAAAGCAAAGAGAGAGAGAGAGAGAGAGATAGGGAGAATACAAATAGAGTACGTATTTCATTTTAATTGGTGACAATTAACGAAACGCTACCGTTCTCGATCATCCAACACAAGTTCTGGTTTTTTTTCTTCTTCTTCTTCTTCTTCTTCTTCTTCTTCTTTTTTTATCGTTTGTTTTCTTATTCTCACCTTTTTTTTCTTCCTGTTGTTAACATGATAATATTACAAACTCTCTCTGACTCAAACAACTAACTAACTCGTTGAATACTCAGGTAGATGTCATTTGTACAATAATCAAACACTTATTTTTATTGACTTTTACTTAAAGACGTTTGTAAAATTTCTTATACAAACATTTAAGAATATTTATAAAAGAAAGTTATATTTATATATGAAAATGAATAGAAATAAATTAAAATTATTTTAAAAAAGAATATACTACTACACGTGTTTTACGGTATTCACGATAAAACCGGACTATCACATCGCCTAACATTCTTCCAAGTAATAAAACAAATTTATAATCAATATTGTAAGAAAGATGAAGAGTATATTGAAAGAATACAACAAAGTCGCGTTATTTCCTGAACTGAGAACCTGTTGTGCAACATCGTTGTTTAAACGGATGTTCAAATTACCTGGGATAAGATCGCGTCAAATTCTATGTTCGATTATTGGTTGTTCGTTACAGAAATAATAATAATATATAATTTTACGTGTAAATAAATTTTGCAATATAAATATAAATATAAATAAATAAAAATAAATAGATATTATTATCTTTACATTTGTGAAATTTTTTTTTTTATATAGGCCTAGCTCGAATCAACAATTTTCTTTCATTTTTGTATGTGTGTTACTTTTTTTTTTCTTTTTGATAAAATGAATGATAATGATCATCATTGAACCAATAAATATTATGGGAATTTATTGTATGTTATTAAGAGCGTTGAAATCCATCAAACCCCTATGGTGTAATTCAGGTAGCTATGAAACTGTCGTTCCATAACTAATATATCAAAGAAGACTAATAGAGCTCCTAGGGTAGGCTACAACCAAAGATCTAAAATTTCATATTATTCGAAGATAGAAAAGAGGCACGCCTCCTCTCCTTCGTCAGCACCACTAGGGTGTGTCAGGGATAATCGCAAAAGGTTTAGCTAAGTTCTAAAGCTTAACGAACAACTTTCTTCTCCATTCACGCCTACTTTTTAAAAACCTAATTCCATTTTATGAAAATGCTAACATAATTATCACCAATGATGATCGTTTTATAAATTTAATTACAAGATAATAATAACGAAATTTCATTTGTTTGTACGATTATAAAAAAGATTGTCACAGTTATGTTTTAAAATGACAAAAATAAAAACAAACAGAGAAGCTTCAAATTTGTTTTCTAGGATATTAAAAAAAAAACAGAAACTTAACGATAATAATTAATCCTACCTTGTCGATGTTCGTGGGAATCACGTCGTCGTTGGTGTCCTCTTCGATTTGTTCAGTTTCACTATTGGTATCCCTCAATAGCAACTCCACCGTCGTGTTTTTCAAAGAAATCACCTTGTCCAGGATGATATTAGTCCCTTTTTTTAAAACTATTATCTCCCTCGTTGATAAAATATATTTGGACAAAACGTGTAAGCCACTTTTTTCCTACATCTCGAACTTGATAAGTCTCATTGCACAAAATCTTCACAGCAGAAAGTTCTTTCCTCAATTGTATCAATCAACTTCACGATATTTATAATTAAAAATCATATGGGTATTATAAACAAAATAATAATAATAATAATAATAATAATAATAATAATAGTAATAACACGTTTGAAAAATGATTATCACGATATCGTCGATTGGTTTCTTTCTTGTTTACGTTTTTTTTCTTAATATCTCTTCCCAAAAAGTAAACAACACACGATTTCTATTTTCTTTTTGTTATATGTCGAATATTATCTTCGAATATTCTTTATTCGAATGGATTACGTTGATTATAATCAACAACAAGTAACTATGATCAAAAGTTGATGATGGTCAATGACGATGACGAAAACGACGACGAAAAAGATGACGACGACAACGACGACAACGATGACGATGACGGACAAGGAGGCAGATGACAACGATGAAGACTATAATGACGATGACGATGACAAGGACGACTATAACGAGTACTATAACGATAACGACGGCAACGACGACGGTGACGGTGACGACGACGACGACGTCGTTGTTGCTTCCTGGTAGCACCGCTCGGTAGCGCTCTCTTCGTTCAGATCACCTCTTTCTCTTTCACCCTCTTTCTCTTTCACCCTCTCTCTCTCTCTCTCTCTCTCTCTCTCTCTCTCTCACCCTCTTTCTCTACCACCTCTTTCTACCCCCACCACTTTGAATCTGCAATCACAACGACGACAACGAACAACGACGGACAACGAAGACGTGGACGAGGACGAAGACGAAAACGAAGAGGAAGACGACGACAAAGACGACAACGATAAGAAGAACCGAGATTATAATATCGTAGGGATACAACCGGGTACGGTCTCGAGTGAGAACGCAACGCTCTCCGGATGCTGGACGTTCCGCGTCGGCTCGTATGTGAACGAGAATCGCGTCTCTGCCGTGTGGGAGACCCGTGGAAAAGTAGATTCGAGTGGGGATATTAAGATAGAACGAGACAGATATATATATATGTATACGTACATATACATATATATATCTCTTTCTATATACATATATATATATATATATATATATATATACATATATATAGGGAGAGAGATAAAGAGAAGGGAGCCTGCGCGGACTCGTCCTTCCTCCTCCTTTCATCCCCACCACTGTCGATGAAAGCTGCTCCTGGATGGCCCTATCCTGCTCGCAGAACAAGGACGTGAGTTTTACCAAAGAGTAAACAGAGTAGGATAAAAGATACGATGTTGTATTATTTCTATCTCTTTCTCTCTTTCTTTCGTACTCCTTTATCATTCACTTACTAGTTCTATCATCATCGTTAGATTCTCTACCCTTTTCAGTGATATCTCTTCCAGAAGGTTATGAGTCCTGCAATTACCATAGCAATATTGTCCAGAAATGGTTTAAAGAGAAAGACAGAGAAAAAGAGAGAAAGAGAGAGATGTTCTTTCCCTTTTTTTAAGTTTCACTCTTCCTTTTCTTTCGAAAGTAGTGCACCATAGCAAAATGTCCGCCATGTTGGAATCTTGAGAAACTCGTCAGAAATTTTTTTTTACAAATAACTTTGCGATCGTTTTCTGATCTGATAAATATATGTTTCTAATATTATTTACATTTTTTTAAATAATAAAATCTAAGCATTTTTATACTTCAAACTTTGTTTTGTCTCGTATCGTATATCTCACGCGAAGTATAAATAAAAACGCTCGTACGATTAAATTTGAAATAATAATTAATAAAAATTTGGAACAAGAGGAAAGAAAACAAACAAAAAAGAAAAAACGAAATAAGAACTTTACCTTTTTCGTCAAGTTCTATCTAAAACACATTAGCTTTGCTATCTTTTGCTATTTTTGACGAATTGCAAGGAAAAACACGACACACGCATATTCTCTTTCTCTATCTCTCTTTTTAAGAAAGAGAAATGCATATACGTAACTACGATACGAATAGAAGAAAGAGATGGTAAAGTACGTGAAGGGTTGCGTCAAGGGGAAGGGAGATGGGAAAAGGGGGAAGAAGGAAGGCCATATAGAACGCGCAGCCTCCGCATGGACCAAAATGGCCGGCTGCGCGTTGGCCGATTGGTGTTTTGGATGCGGTAGAGGCGTGGTGAAAACATGCCGCGTACGAGCCACCGATCGACGATAAAAATGAATATCCCTGCTAGAAAGGGAGAACGAGATTGGGTGGGCAAGGGGTGACGAGGGGTGACGGAGAATGGCTAGGGGGAAAGGGAACTGACTATGGTGGGGTGGGGATATGAAAGTGTGAAAGACAAAGATCGTATATATGTGTGTCTACATTTCCATGTGTGTGTGGTGTGCTCGCAACTCTCTCTCTCTCTCTCTCTCTTACTTTATATGTACAGTCAACGTGCAAGCTGCAATCGTGTTGTAAAAGGGAGGGGGGAAGAAAAGATAGCGGTGGGGAGTGTGTAGAAGACTTTTTTATAGATCCCTTTCCTCTTCTTACTTACACATACATTTATATGTTTGTATATGTAAGAAGAAACACGAACGAAAGAACGTATACCAGCATATGTATATACATTTCCACCCCTTCCTTTCTCTTCTCTATCTCTTTCTCTCTCTTACTCGCTGTTGTGCATGATCTTCGCTGTGTAATGTACCGTGAATAGGAGAAAATAAATACGTACCACGCGAATATCGATATATATGTGTGTGTATATATGTGAATATATATAGAGATGTTAAATGTAAACTCGTATTGCATTGAAGTACACGAAGTACATTTCGGAGATCGTCATTAAGAGAAGATGCTAATTAGAGACGCACGAAGATCATATGACGATGAAATAAATATATATATTTTTATTACTTGTTATTCTATTTGTCTCTCTCTCTCTCTCTTTCTTCTTTTTATCTTTTTCTTATTCTTCATCTTCATTGCAACCCAAAAAAGAATTTATCAGACGTCTTCTCGAATTGTCGTCACAATGTTTATGACGAGATCTCAATCTGTTTTATATAAACATGCACATATAATACATATATATATATGAGTACATATAGTTTGTGTGTATATAGAAACTGGGATATGTTTTCACAAGTACTGCAGTTCCTTTTGGAAAATGCAATGTGTCAGAGATGAATCCCTCTGTTCGCTATCGGTCTCAAATACAAGACCAGGACGGCTGTGTTATTGTCGTTTGTTTGTTTGTCGTATTCGATAAAGAGGGAAACGGAGACAACCTACAAAGAGAGATAGAGAGAGAGAGACAGACAGAGAGAGAAGCACCCTTGGTGCACTAGGATATCTATTAAATGGAGAGAGGAAGATGCAAGGAAGAAAGAGAAAGCAAACAAGGATGGGTGACCACCACCGGTTGGTTGGTTGGTAGGTTGGTTGCTTATATGAGTGTATATCATGTTCCATTCTATGCGCTTCTTTGCTCTCCTAAAATCGAATGTCACTGAGAAAAGAAATGTCACAATATTCCTCGGTATATATCTAGTTGACATTTTTTTTTCTATCAAACTATAATACTACACAATGCTACACATTTCTTCTAGTTTCATTAAAAAATCATTGCAATTGATATTGAAACGTTTCTTTTGTTAAAAATATTTTCAAAAATCGTATCATTCTACAAAGTTCGTAATTATTAAAAAAAAAGATTAAATTTAAAAGGGATGAAAATAAAGTAAAATTGATACTTTAAATCAACGATTATCTTCTGTTGACAGAACTATTACCAAATAACTTATTTTCTTTCTTAAACATCCGTATCGAATCATTGCTTTTTACTAAACGAACGAAGGTGGTCTAACAAACAAACAAACAATAAGAAAAAGAAAATAAAAAGAAGAAAAAAGAAGTTTTTTCTTCGAATAAATACAAAATACCTAGTGATCCTCAAAATTTGGATTCGTTGCTAGTAGTAGTAGTAGTGGTAATCCTACGTTAGAATGTTTGACAGCATAATTTTCACGTTAGGGGGTGGCCCTTTTATGCTTGCGCCTGGGCTATCGTATTGTCGTTGAAATAAGCCATATCCCACATTATAAGTACTCCGAACTGCCTCTTCCTTTTCCCCCCTTTCCTATTTTCCTTGCCTTTTATGCACATTTGCACGTATGCACGAGGCATACAAAAACCTAACTAAAGGGACAAACGACAGAGGTCCTATAGTAGGTTGTATTCGCCATAGAAAAAGTTAGAGGGCGTGTTGAGAGGGAAGAAAAGAAAAAAAGAGACAAAAAAAAAGGAAAAGGACCATGGGATTTTTTCCCGTTTTTTTTTTCTTTTAAATATTCTTTAATGTGGTTATTTTTATATGTTTGACCACAAACCCCTATCGTATTCTTCTGAGAAAAGATGATTCTTTTTCCAAAAAGAAAAATAAAATAATTAATATTTTTAAATTGTTTAAACGCACTTTTAGTTTTTTTTATTAGAAATTCTAATATAATGACTAACTTTGTCATACTAAACATATAGAAATATTTGGATTTGAAAAAAATCTAATGGTTACAATCGTAACGTTTGAGAAACGTAATTCCCAGAAGAAGAGTCAAAAGGTAGAAAGATCGTCTTTCAATTCTTGAAAGTAGAGACTGCAACAACGTCAATCACGACACAGAAGAGGTTGCCGAAAAGAAGAAGATCGAAGAAGAAGAAGGTTACTCTTCTATTCCTAAGGGAATACTCGTCACTCGACACCAATCAGACAGAATCTGTCAAAAATCTGTCAACCGGTGATATTGTCGTCGCCATTCCCTTTCTCCCTTTTGAGATTTTACCAACATGATGAAATCGGATCGATGATCGTGAAACGAGTGGGATACAAAGTGTATATATGTGTGTGTCAAAAAAAGAAAAAGGGACCAAAAAGAAGGGGGGGCCAGAAGGAGGCAAGGCAAAAGTTTGGAAGAGCACAAAGTGGACCTTCTCTTTTTCTCACTTCTCCTGTTCTTCATCGAAGAGCATAGGTATGTAAGTAGGTGGGCCTTGCCACCTATATTTGACACCTTTCAGTCTAATAAAATAAAATGCTACGCCGTGGAATGTGGTCTTCTCTCGTTCAGGGACAGAAATGCCGCTTCCACTTTCGACTTTGAATGTCCTCGCGAGTTGTTCCCTATCCCCGATTCTTCTCTCTCTCATTCCCAACACGACGGATCCTACAAAAGACGATGATATCTCTCGAAAAGCAACGATAAGGGTCTTCTCTTCTCTTCTCTCTTCTTTTCGAGTCCTTTCAAAAAAACTTGGATTAAATGCGCTCATGCGTATTAAATTCTTAAGTTAAATTAAGCATAAAAAGATAAAACATATTTTTTATTATAAGACAAAGAATATTTTGAAATAATGTAATCGATTGTATAATTAATATTCTTATATCAAAAAAAAAAATTAATAAATGAATAATCTAACTACTACTCCTATGTTACTGCAGTCAGTAAGAAGTAATAACGCATTGTTTATGATTGGATATATCTACGTCAGTCAACAGTAACGTTCGCACTTCATAACGGTCCAAGCTTTAGAAAGTGGCGTTATCCAGGAGAGTTGATCATCGAACCGTAACCGATAGCACTGTGGTCGAAGTATTACCACGTATATATACGTGGGTCCTTTATGAAAGAGCTTGATATATCGTGCACTATTAGATTTTTCGCCAGACCTATAATGTCTCCTCCATTGTGCCCTCTCTTGAGAGAGAGAAACGACTTCAACGATAAATCCTATAAGGATTTTTCAAAAGAAAGCATTTGCTTCGTCACGCTTAGGCTTATCATTTACAAAATCGTTCAAATGTTGTTTTCTACGAAAATACAAACGACTCATTTGATGTTCTTTTTTGGTTTTCCAAATTTGGTAATAATATTTTGTTATTATTTTTATAATACGCGAATTATTTTATTGTTTACAAATTTTTGTCTTATATTTTTATGAAGAGACACATGCACACCGCGAGAGCTCGTTTAAGCATACACACACATAACACACACACACACACACACACACACACATACGCATAATGAAAAATGTTTTTTCTATCGACTCCTTCAACGTGCAGATTAAAAAGCGACTCGACGATTGCCTCTCGGCGAGTACCGCATTTACATTCGTTCTAATCCGATAAGAATCGTTCCTACAGATGTTTGGAAGGTTTGTTTGTATTGAGATGCACGAGAGAGATATATAATCTAGTCAATTTGACACCCTCATCGAGGACCTAATGGGTGCTTTCAACCCTGGAAGAACCAGTTAGGTACAGTTGTCAGGCAAACTCGCGACTGGTCTCTACCACCTATGACCAACACACAAAAAGATCTCTGAAAGAGAGAAAAAGAAAGAAGAGAATAAAGCAAAACCGAGAAGAGAAGAGAGAGATAAATGTGAATAAAGAGTATCTTCGTTTCTTCGTCGAATATATCCCGCGATGGATGATCCTAATCTTTCCAGATTTTCATTATCCTTGATTTCGAACTTCTCTCTCCCTTAACTATATATCTCTGCACTTATGAAACGAGAAAACTTATGAAATTCGTCTAGGACATTAATTCGCTTTTTTCGGTTATCAACGAAGTTGGTACGTTGTGTAATGATACTTCGGTGTACTTTTTGCGTGGTAGAAATCTAGAAAAAAAATATATATATATATATTTATAGATACAAATATTAATATACGAAATGATTTATAAGTAAAAAAATTGTACCTTCGTATGATCGGTGGAAAATGATCTTTATTGACCTCGTTAAGATCTGGTGCTCCGCAAAGGAAGCTTACGATCGTACCGATTACCATTACAACCAAACAACCGATCAAAGTATAATACATAAAAGAAATCGTGTAAAGGATGAAAGGTTCATTGTCAACGTCAACTGTGGATACATTTGTCGGCATTGTTGTAGTATGATTGTTTAAAATATCATCCTTAAGGAAACATTCGGCAGTAGAAGTTGGAAGAGGCTTATAGATCAACTTTTTAAGAGCCATATTCCATTGAGCACCAGCAATAATCCATACCATTAATGCCATAGAAAATGAGCTACCAACAACAGCACCCTTTGTTGTTGCCCATGGTACTAACATACCTAAACTGAACAGACCCAACATCGAGCCAGCTGTAATCCCGGTCAAGCTCATGGATACTTGAAAAACGTCTCCAAGACGATCAACTACGAAGACCAATGCCACACAAATAGTGCCTATAATAACTACCGTGATCTAGGATAATAAAAATGTATCTAAAGTAAACGATTGTAACTAAAGAAATCTTCTTATTTCAATTCATCAATAATTGGAATCGATTTTTCATGATTACCTTCATAATCGTAGCTGCTTTTTTCTCTTTGTCAGGAGTATCGGGCATCCAAGGTTCAATGAAATCCTCGTAAATTGTACCAGCTGTTGTGTTTAATCCACCACTCATACTGGCAAGTCCAGCACTAACCAAACCAGCAAGGAAAAGTCCTGGTAAACCTGGTGCATTAGCAGCTACGTCCAACACGTAATATGGTAAAATTTGATCACTCCTTGATACTACCTATTAAAAAATATTTCAAATTATATAATTATACTATTATTAAAAATGATTAATTTTTTCAAGTTAAAGGAATCTTACGTGTGCTGTTATTGGATCGCATTTGTAATATTTAGCATACATGATAAGTCCAGTGAATACCGAAACCCATTTAACTACCACCAATCCAACTGCCATAAATGCTATTGATCTGTGCAAAAATGATTAATGTATAATACAAAAAATATGAAATAAACAAATGATCTTACTTTCTTGCTTCTGTCATCGTTGGTACAGCCAAAAACCTTTGCATGGAAACTTGACTGATACCGATGCCAACAAGCCATGTAGTTGACATGCCTACCGACATACCCCAAAAAGAATTTCTAGTAAAGGGACTCGGATTCATGCTGTTGAAATAGAACAAATCATTATTATACATATATACATATATAAATTTATATTATTAGATAATAAAAAAGAAAGTCAAACATTAATGATATAATAGCACTCGAAATTCTTACTTCCAAAACACAACCCTCCCACCTTCATCCGCTATTTTCCAAATTTCGGTAACACCGCCCACGGATCTGATCCCTAACAAGAGAACAGCAAACAAGCTTCCTACGGTTACTGTCATTTGAACCGTGTCCGCCCATACGACGGCTTTTAAGCCCCCCTAAAAATATACCGAAAATGTTAGAACGTGAGTTAGAAGACAAATTAGAATTTAGATTCTTATATTATAAAGTTATCTTCATATTTTAATCGTTAACATTAATTACGTGTATTTTTATTTAATTATTACTATTAATATTATCATTAAAAAGATTCTAAGAAATAAAAGATAAGGATTTACACGAACTATATTTAATAATAATAAAAAATGGGATTCATGGAAAAAAAAGAAATGATAATGGAAGAGATAAAAAAAAATCTTCCTTGTAAATTTTGACGCGTATTTCTGCAAACAGACACGCCAATCGCATTATGGTCGTGTAAACATTATCTTCGTTGCAATGTACATTTAATATGTGTAATAAGCACAATTCCACATTGTCAACATTCAATAATAGGCGTTTCCACTGATAAGAATTCACGACAGCTATTTTCTAATACAATAATGATGATATTAATGACGATAATATTAATAGTAATAATGTATTAGACAAAATAAAAAGAAAAGAAAAGAGATAGCTAGAAAAAGAAAATAAAATTAATTTGCCAATCCATGACAATCCATCATATTTTTCCACGTACTCGTTTACTACCATACGCGTTGAGATCTTTGATAACGTCATGCTTTATATATGACGTTTGTAAACGAAACGTCACGGAAGTTATGCTTCCTCTTGCACACTTCGTTTATCAAAGTACATGTATCTCTAAACAACCTCGAGATGTTCCTGTTTGACGATGACGAGAGTTTAATCGTTACATTGACTCGCCAAAGTAATCTTCTGCTCTTTTAAAAACTTTCAATCCTTCTAACTCGATTTATTTTTAGTATCCTTACCCGTCAACTTATTTTTTTTCTTTCCTTTTTTAAATAAACGAATTAAATTAATTCGACGTATGAATTCAAACGATTACCTACTATTTTTTTCCTTTACTCATTTTGCATTTGAATAAATTTTGTTGGATACGTGTTAGATTTTTTTCTAACATACAAAATTCTATTAAAAATATTTAAATAAATTTTATAATTCTAGAAAAAAATTATTAATTAATATAAAATGAGCTAACGATTATCGTATCGGTCCAGTAAAATGTTAGAAATAATTATTATAAACGCATTGACGACCATAATTAATTAAACACCGTTTGTATACTCGAATCATTAATGTCAAATTTAATGAACTTAATTATTCATAATATATACTTACTATAGTCGTGTAAAAGATGCAAACGATGCAAATGACGGGTGCAATTAGATGTAAATTAATTGCAGTTGCTTGAGAAAATGCTAAAGCGGGAACGTAAATAATCAAAGGGATGTAAATGACGAGAGACAAACAGTATAAAAATGATGCGAACAATCGTACAGGTCGGGCAAATCTAATTTCTAAATATTCAAATATACTAGTCAATTGTAATTTGAAAAAGACAGGTAAGTAGATGTAAGCAATGATCGAGCAAGTTATGAAAGAGGTGAAGATGCATGCTGCATATTGGCTGCCATGTTGATACACCTCTGAAGGCACGCCAAGCAAAGATACACCGGATATGTGACTGAAAGAATAAAAATGATTTTTTTCTTTTATTTCTTTCTTCTTTCATTTTCACAAAATTGAATTTAATCTCGTCTTTTTATTATTAAGTTGCAACACATATTACATTCTCCATTTTGAAAAAACCAAAATATTTCTTTGAATTGTTCTTCGTACAATGAGATTACGAATGAATTTGTTTGATTTAAATTAATTTGAAATAAAAGTTTGATTGTAAAAAAAAAGGAACCTTTCTCTTACCTGGCGATTAAACTCATACTGATCGGAAAAAAAGACATAGTTTTACCACCGAGTAGATACTCGGTGGTACTGTCTTGTTTTTTAAAGAAACCAAAATAAACGCCAATGACCATACTGATGCCTAACAGGAAGACGAATAGGGTGTAATCGGTCCATCCGAAAGTAAGATGTTCCAATTTATTGCCGATGAGAATGGATGTTGTATTATTATCTATCATATCGGTTTTAGGCGACTCTGTAGAATCACCGAAGATGTGTTGGACTACTTTTAAACGTTCACTGAACACTTTCTTTGTAATTTTTAATTTTTCTGTACTTATATAAACTTATCAAACGTGGATATCGAATAATGTTTTTCTCAAAATTGACCGGTTACGATTTAACAATATAGACCATTACATTGATATATGTGTACAAAAAAAACCGAAGCTATCTTATTTAAGCTTGGAAAAGTACTCCTGACGAAATCTTCGTGTCTACTGATAATGGTGATGTGGTGTATTTGATTCTATATGCGTTACTTACATTACACGTAACATCAGTCTTGATTTACAACAGGTATATAAAACGGTTAAATTCATGAAAGATTTGCAAATAGACATATGAACGTTTTATAAATGGACATCTTTTAGTCGTTTCGGTACATATATATACGTTTCATGACCTATACTGTCGCGACTCTTGTTTGCCCAAAAAAACAGGGAACAAATTTTTAGGATTGTATATTACTTGATGATAAGATCGAAAAAGACGGGTGGAGACAAGAACCGAAATCAGATAAATACCAATGCTGAGAATTAATATTTGTTAAATGATCTACAAAAAAATTTATCCTGTTGATGTTAGAGTGGAAAAAAAGAATAGTATTTTTTGATTGTAATACAAATATCAATGAAAAGATAACCAACGTACGATAACTTCCAGTACCATGAAGATAAATAAAGATAACAAACAAGGAAAAGAGGAATTTTAATAAGAATATATATGATATATATTTTCTCTTTCACTATCCAACTCTACTAATGCACTCCATATAACAACCATTCCGTTAATTCTTGCATTCGACGTTGTTTCTCAGTTTCCTCGCATTTCTTCAATATTTCATCTAAAATTTGCTGTTCATCTTCGTCCAAATCTACCAAAGGATTCAATGGACTAATGACCATATTTGGAAGCGTTACGTCGTAATAAAGAAATATCTGTCAACAAAAAATTACAAATAAAATTTATACATTTATTTGTTTAATATGGTGTCTTAGATAATACTTACTTTATTATTAAAAGTATTGTAAACGAGGCAAGGTGTAGGAGTACGTTGTACAACGTTATAATAGCCTGTACAAAAGGCTCGAACTGGTTCTTCAAATTGAAAACGTACGCTATTTCTTTGTTGATCTAAGATATAGGTTTGACCATCCCATGCACAGGCTATTATTTCATCGGAACCATCGTTGGTTACATCCAAACGGCACAAAGCAAATATTTGATGATCCACTTGCATAGCCCTGTAAAATAAGAAAAATATATTATAATAACTGTTCAATAAACAATTCATTTCATCGTATAAAATATATTTAACTCACCACAATATATTTTCATCCTTTACCAACATTATAGTGCCGTCTAAAGTGGCAAGAGCATATGGCTTCCCTTTCGAAGAATCTTCTTTAGACTCATCCAACTCGTCATCTTTATCCATTTCAATTTGTATTTCTTGATTATTATTATTATTGTTGTTAATATTAATGTTTTTGTTATTATTATTATTATTATTATAATTAAAAGAAAAATCTTCGAAGGTTGGTAACAATAGATCTTTCTTTGGCTTAGGGTCAAAGTCTCCAAGAATAACATTACCACCCAAAAGATTACCATCCACTTGATCAACACCTGCAAATATCAAACCTATTAATAATTATGTAAATTTGTAAAATATTGAAAAATAATTTACTATCACCTGCCGTATCTACGCTGCTATCATTTAGTTCCGATTGATAATTATGCGATTTAGTTTCAACCAATAAAGATTTGATATTTCTTAAACTCGACGGACCGTCATCAATGAAAGATTGTTTAGCTGGAGTATCGTGTTGTATGATATTTTTTGGTACTTTGGATTCCAACGATGCTATTAACGATATCATTCCTGATTCCAGATCTCCTATAATTTCGGTAGATATATTTGGATTACGCATTCTAGATATTCCTAAAGTTTGATAATCAACACAACTCGCAGCTACTTCGTTATCCCCTTCGCATGATTCATTTTCTAATCTATGATCTTCCGCGTTGCATTTAATTCTCATGAAAGTACCACCTGGCTGGGCAACTAACAATGTCGGAGTTCCATCTTTCGAATGCTGTAATGTTTATTCAAATATTACAACATTCTAAAGAATCCATAAATGTAATTGCATTTTTTGTGAAAATTATTTTGTCAAACCTGTAATGTAACTGTTCCAATTTGATTGGCACATTCCCATTTATTCAAACCAACTAATTTCCCAGTCCCGAAATCTGTATTACTGGACCACCTGTATGATCTGACAACACGGTCTGTTAATCCAAGTATCATTTCATTTGCACCATCTTTATCAATATCAGCTACCAACACTACCTTTGTATTAGTTGGTATTCTTTGTACATGAACGCATTCCATTTTTCCAGATAATTCGTTTATTTCGCTAATATTATCCACGTGTTCTGAACTTGGTGAACTCGTCATATTAATAATACTACCGATATCTATTTTCACAAGATAAAAATATGAGACCTTTATATTTTTAAACGTATAAAAAAAGTGAACGTACCACCAACAGTCTTAAGATTTTCTTGTTCATCTTCTTTGTGCAATTGCGTTAGTAAGGATGGTACATTACTAGGATTAACAGATCTTGGACTATAAAAAATATGTGCCCAGCCGTCTCCGCAAATAACAACCAATGCATTTCGTCCGTAATTAAAAATATCACCTATAGCTACACAAGTTACAAGCCCAAGGCCAGTTATTTTTTGCCATAATTCAGATCCCTAAAAAATAATCGTCAAGTTAGAAATTATTAAATGTATTAAAAAACTTATCTAATGTATGATGCAAAAGATTATAAACTTACTTTAAAAATATAAAGTTCTCCTTCTGCTGTGCCCACTACTAATTCATTATCTCCATCATTATCAACATCTCCTACCGTTAATCCATGTCTACATATAGTACCTGGTAATTCCCATTGTAACCTCTTAACAAAACTTACAGCCCTCATATTTATAATGCACTTTTGATTAACTTCTTCTAGAACTTAATATTGTACGTTGATTTGGCATGGAAGCTTCAAGATATTGCCAACGATTAGGTGGCCAAACTATGCAAGTAGCTTTAGCAGTAATTAAACCAAGAGAAACTGGTCCAAAAGTATTCGAGTCCATTGAACGACCTGTGTGATCTCCTTCCAACCAGCAATGTCCATCTGGAACCTATACCACAATATCCAATGTTCAAAATTCATTATAATGAGCAAGTAAATAGAAGTCAGTTTCTGATTAGAGTAATAAGTTTGACATAAACCTGAAGGTAATCCGATTTATATCCACGTGTATGTAAAATGTCACCTGCGAGGCCTACAACTCGTTTGATTAATGTTTGACTTGGTGATTTGGGGGATATCACAGATACTATTTCACCTCGTTGAATATCGCGAGTACGTATAGCCCAACGATTTAAGAATACATAATCTGGATTTTTTAAATCTGGATTTAAGGCTGGTTGCATTGAAATTCCTTCCACTTTAGCCACATATCCTACTGTGTCCAAGAAGGTAATCCCAACAGGGATGCCTATTAGGACACTACGTAAAAAATGTGGTATTCTCATGTATCACTCTAATTAAATAAGAAATAAAAAATAGAAAAACAATTGTTATATTAATAAACTTATATTAATTATAATAAAATATGTGAGCCAATTCTTATTTAGGTTAGAAAAATGTGCATGTATACATACCAGATTAAATATGTTTATTTCATTTAAATTTCTTTGTATGATTTATTTAAAAATGACTTATAAATAATTGAATTTAATATCCTAACTAAAATTTATTTTCACTAACATTTATACCAAATATAAAGACAATAGCCATTAATACCGACAGAGATTACTATCAGGATTGCCAACACGTGTTGATGAATATAGAAAACTAAAAATAACTAATATAATATAATATTAAATAATCTACTAGTACATTATCATATATTTAAATATATTCGATATATTCAATATATTTGGTATACATATGTATTTGAATGCAATAAAATATTCGAAATATCTCTTTTTGTAAAGAAAATGATTCAAATTGTCGCGTAACTACCGCTCAAAAATGAACCAATGAAATACTGCGATTTGCACAGCGCCAGATTTGAACTACTCTCAAGGTATTTACTAAAAGAGAAAGAAAATTCCATAATTTATAGTTTAACTTCTCTTTTTTAATATTGCATTTTTATAAACAGTGTACGAATGATGAATTCATTCTTTTATCATAGAAAACTTCATTTATTTCTCATCTATTTTTAAACAACCACAACAGTAAATCAATTAAGCGAGATGTTTAGTAGGTATATTTTTTTTTTATATAATAGAGATTATTAATTCTAAAGAAAACAGCATTTATCTTTAAGACATCATTCTTTCTTTATTTAAACTTAAGAACACAGGGTGTCCTTATTAAATGGATCAAGAAGCAAATTCTCGTAGGCAATACAACGCTTGTCCACCTGCCTCTTTTTCATCCTCATCTTCATCTTGATCTTCTGTTTCTTTTTTCTTTACTTTATCATTCTTTATTTCTATTTTTCCTTCTTCTTCATTATCATATTTGATTTTCGTCTTCGTCGTCATCTTCATCTTCGTCTTCCTCTTCCTGTTCCTCTTCGTATTCGTCTTCATCTTCATATTCATCTTCTTCTTTCTCTTCCGCGTCGTCTTCTTCTTCTTCTTCTTCTTCTTCTTCTTCTTCTTCTTCTTCTTCTTCCTCTTCTTCATCATCTTCTTCTTCTTCTTCCTCTTCTTCATCATCTTCTTCTTCTTCCTCCTCATCTTCTTCTTCTTCTTCCTCTTCCTCTTCCTCTTCCTCTTCTTCTTCTTCTTCTTCTTCTTCCTCTTCCTCTTCCTCTTCCTCTTCCTCTTCCTCTTCCTCTTCCTCCTTTTCTTCTTCTTCTGTTTCCTCCAATTCTAATTCTAATTCTTCTTCTTCTTCATCTTCTTTTCCTTCTTGTTCTTCTTCTTCTTTTTCGTCATCTTCGTTTTCATCAGAGCTATATAATTTCAAATTAGATTTAAATTGTAATTCCTTCTCAAAATCATTCAATTGTTCCTCATTATTCATTGTTATTTCTTGCACTTTTACTTCGCGTTCATTTTCATTCATTGATCTTATATCGGAAGTACTTTCTGTTTCTTCTATTAATTCATTTTCATCTCCAGATTCCTAATAGAGTAAACATTATTAGTAATAACATAATATATATAAGATGTAATAGAATAAAATTGAAATATGGCTAATGTGTTGTTAGTATAAAGAAGCGAACACACAACCACTTCTAATGAAAAATACGAAAACAAGATAATTTTAAATAATAAGCTGTGTAAAATGTTGATATTATTAGAAATAAATATTAGATATTGTATGTGTCTGTGATAGAGAATAATTAAATTAGAAAAAAGAAGCATCTATTAACAAATTTATAATTAATAAATAAACGAAGAAGCAAATTCGTATTAAATAATTTGCTACAATAAAGAAAATAAATATCTGCGTTATCGAAGCATGATTATGACAGATAATTAACAAAATAAAATTGATAGGCAAACAATTAAATAAGTAAAAGAATCACCAAATAAAACAAGGCTCCGCGGTTTCATTTGATTCTGCTGAATTCTAATATTTTCTTACAGCTGCAATTTGGTCGAGACTGATGAGTGATAGTGTCATTTTGCCTGAGAGAATGATAGGTGCTTCAGAACTTTCCTCTGTTTTTTGTTCTTGAGTTTCCGAATCCGTAACAAGTAATTCACATTGCGAAGGTAAAGCACCTTCTAAATAAATTGGTACCGGTGGTGTCTTCTCCCTCTCAGTGGGACTAATTTAATAATAAAAAAATTCATTTCTATTGTGCTAGAATATTTTTCTTATTAAAATAAAATTTCAATACCTATGGGATGGCGGGGGTATAATGGGGGTGGTAGGTCTACTACATTTTTGTCCACCCTCACAGCTGGCAGTCATTTCCATGCCCATAACTTTAACTGTTGGCGATTGTTCTATGCTTTCTACTTCTTGATCTTCATTACTATAATTTTCCTGGACAGTAGAGTCTTCCTACAAATGACAATATTTAATATTAATAAAATAATTATTTAATTAGGTATCACATTTGACAAATGAACATTTGTGAATATTCATAAAGAAAAAACTTATAATAATACAGCATTCTACTGTTATATCTGTAACGTTATTCCCTACTATTATAAAAGCCAAATCCATCTATGGGTTTGTCAACTTTGTTTGCGCATAATTTGATTATTATGCTAGAAATCTAATGTAACATAAAATAAATCATTATACCATCGGTTTTTAAAAACGCACATAACAATAACAATTTAATATTTCGTATCACCATGGTAAAAATAATATAAGCGATCGATCATGCACCAAACATGTTTTAGTAATAGTTATTTTGTTGATATTAAATGACATACTTAATACCGTTCAACTATTATTTGCAATTATATATGTACTATGAAAAATCGATTAAATACTATGATATTACTAAATTTATTCGAGTGCAATTCAAGGAAAAATGTATGGTGTAATCTACTATGTATCAAACATTTAAACAAGGATTAAAAATATATATATATGTTGAAGCCTAAATAATTTTTTAATAAGATTATATTCTTATTACAGATCAAATATACAAAAAGAGAAACAACAAAGTTTTTCACAAAAAAAAAAACTCTCGGTTAACTGGTGTTAGGAATCATCATGGCAGTAAGTGATATACCTTAGAACAGTGATTGACCCCTGCCAGACCATTGGACTTTGGAGCCCCATCTACTACTCAAAAGGTAAAAAGATACACTATCAATTGGTTTACCCTAATCATCTTACATAACGATATTTATAATAGAAATGACACTCAGTTCTTTTTATTTTAAATACAAATATATATTGTACTTTGAATAAAACATAACGTTCAATCGACAATAGAATAATTTTGATAACTGTTATCCACACTCATTTATATTTATCAAAAGTTATAGACCGAATGTATAAAGTTTCTTTGATATTATTATAAATTAACGAAGTTTATAAACGCACATTGGGATAGGTAAAGCTTGAAACGCAATCAGAACACAGCAACGTGCACATTTCTAAGGACTAGGAAACTGAAAATGTAGTAGTTTGCTTCAAAATTAATCTATTAAACCTTGATTTCTGGCTGTGAGCTTGGGCTATGCATTACTGAACGTGATATGTTGCCCATCTGAACAACAATTCTTTCCATGGCTGCTTCCGTCTCGTCCAAACGACGTCTCAGCTGATCTATCTCTATGTCTCCTGCCGCTTCTTGTGTTCCAGCATGTAGAACATTATCAAATCGGTTCAGAGGGTAAATACACGTACTTACAGTAATTTCAATTTGAGAAAAAATACGCGTGTGTTCTAATTGTGCAAACCTTGCATCATACAACATCGTTGAAAAAAAAAAATACCCAAGAGGAAACATATATATAAATATATGCCTTAATTCTAATTATATCCTTTCCAAAAATATAACAAAAAATATTAGCTTTCGGAGGAAGATGGTACAATAATCGCACAATGCAGATCTTTATATATAAAAAAAAAAAAATGATTAACTTACGATTGTTCAACTCCTCTATAGTTGGAGCAGGTTTATAAGGCGATTGTTCTTTTTGGTAATGCATTGTACCTCCCGTCATTGCACTAGCAAGTAAATCTGGATTGAATACCATTTTTCTAAATTCTTTCTCGGCAGCTGCACCTGGATATTCTGATATAATCTCACTGTCAGAGTTCTTCTTTAATACCTATAATATTTATTATATCAATTAATAAGAATACATTACTTTATTATTATTTTTAGATAAAATAAAGTTCAAATATTACCTTAACAATAGTATATAAAAAGAACAACACAATGCCTAGTGTATAGAGAGGCATAATAACTCCCATAGTTCCATTTCCTTTAGGTGCTGGCACTACGTGACCAGCTCCTCCCATAGGTGGTCTCATTTTTGGCATTACATGATCAGGTCTGTCTACTACTTTGGGTACAATGTGTGAAGAAGGTATTGTTCTTCCACGTTCCCTTAATGCTGGATGAAGACCTCCTGCGTGAGGTGGAGTACGTCTTTCTTGTCTTATAGTACCTATATTCAAATCAATCATTATATTATTTTCAATATCATTAATAAACTAAACATATGTTTATTCAAATTACAATTAGATGCTTGCACATTTACAAATGCAGACTTTAAAGTATTACAGTAATATAATATCACGTGATTACCATTATTAGTAATATAAAACAAACATAACATATTATTTTGCAACATATTAGAATCCAGGAAGAGGTCATCATATAAATGTATTTGAAACTATTATAGCAATCCAAGCCTTGTACCCTAACAACCATCATGTTTGTATTTCTGGCTAAATGCCAAAGAAGAATAAATGATTTAAGTCTGTCTTCCATATATAACCGATGATCCATATATATAACGTGAGTAACATCATAGTCATGCACATACACATTCTATTTCATTTTTTCACTCTTAACAGAATTACAATATTGTCATTTTATTTCTTGAAAATTATGTTAATCGTTTAATTTTTTATCATTCAATCATGTTAGTTATAATATGATTTTTTTTTTTTCGTAAAGAAACAATGTTAGTAAAATCATATAAAAATCTTGATAATTACTATGGGGCATTAAGATGTGATATCTTATGAGATGTGGTGTACCCAACTGCGATAATGGAATACCAAAATTCAATTTAAGACAAATAGAACCATTGAACGATCTGATTTCTTCTAAAACTTGTTTATAAGTTTTTCCCAGACGTTCATTATCTGCTAGGTATGTGGATAGATCTATGCCGCATCTTGCCAAAACTTCTTCCCTACATAAGTTAGCTATTTGTGGTGCCATTTTATTAGTTTTAAAGGCATCCTTCAATCGTGGATCAACTTGATGATGTCTCAAAATATTTTGACACATTTCTTGCATAATGTCCAAAGTAGTAACATCACTTTCGAATAATACGTCGCAGCATGCTAATAAATATTCATTCGATGTACAATATTGAAAGAAGAATTTAATTTAAAAGAGCCTAATGATATTTGATCATATTAAAAGAAAAAAAAAATTGTACACATACAACAACAACAACTATATTGAATGGGTTGTTCTTAATTGATAATAACATGACATGAAAATAATTATTAGGATAATAAAACTTACTTTCAGAATTTGAATGGTGTGAATTGACAGACGCCGTAAGCATGGGGTAAAAAATTTTTGGCCACAGCACCGCGAAACATCCAGCCACAATAGCCAATATAAAAATTGTCTTTCTCGGACCAAAATCTGTTATCTCGGACATTGTTCGTATCGATTATTTCGTTCGTTTTTTTTTTTTTTATAGAAATATCGCGATTTTGTTAAATAATAAGCCCGATTATTATTCAGCTCTTTTTAATCACATCCGAAACTTTCTTGCGGATGAACGACGTCGTCGTCGTCGTCGTTGTCAGTCTTGCTGCGCACCCAAGCGCACTGTCGTCTGCTATTTCTGTCATGGGTGGTACAGGGATGTCTCGATAAACTTAGGCACCTGCTCCTAAACTTACGTTATGACGTAATCTCACTTTTTCTTTTTTTTCTTTTTAAAAAAACAAACAAAATTATCTTTTATTTTAGAATATAACTGTATTTATCGCGTATAAACAATTTCAATGTCAAATTTATAAGTTTATTTATTTTAGGGAAAATTTAACCACTAACAACCCATATAGGGGTTGTTATCATGAAAGAATATTTTTAATCATCTTATAAAGTGTTAGATTATTTTAATGAATAATTATTGTTGATTATTATGATTATATGGGAAAAAAAAAAACATAATGAAAAATATTTAATAAAACTTTCGCTTCGGGTGAATAACGTGCATTAGTCGGTAGAGCAATGAAGCGAAAGATATTCTAGAAATAGCAGGTCCTGGCAATGTCACATAAATATATGTAGTTGTTGTTGTTAGGAGAGAAATAGAAAGAAAAAAAAAATAAATGAGACTTTGTCCGATAAGTGGCTTAAGAAAAAATTCTACAATCTTTTTTTTTTATGACTCATAAACTTTCTATTACGTTCATTTATTATTTACACAATATTTTATATCTGTAAATCTAAGGAAAACCTATAGTCGATTTAAAATAATATTTTATTTCGAATGGTAATCTATAATTTAAACGCCTTTTTTTCTAATAAAGTTCACGAACGCGATTATTCCGGCCCACCGCGCTGAAAAATAATAATAATTATTATTATTACTATTATTTTTATTAATAGAAAATTACGGAAATAGTTTCTACGTTTCTCGTTTCACGTTATGTAAAGGTATTTATAGTTTTCATTTTATAGTTTGTTTTGTTTAATGAAAAAAAAAAAAACCAAAAGAAATAAACATTTTCTTACGTAAGTTACATTGAGTATAGATAATTTTTATATACGCATGATTTGTTAGTTATTTATATAATTAAAGATTAATTATAAAAGACTTACATTGATATATTCAATTTCTTTTTCGGTAATAGGTCGTCGATGAAATCTTGCAGGTAGGTGAATATCATCGATCGTTGGCAAACTGATAACCTGGGGCCCGGTTGCACCTCGCGATGATGCCGTCCCTGAAGTCGCAGATGGAGCCGCGCTCGCACCTGCGTTTACTAACCAATAACGACAATTTCACATTGTCTTTAAATAGTATACAAAACAAATCTCTTCGTGTTACCTCTATTGAGACCTCCCTTACGAAACCTTATCAGCGGTACATGCGGTTGTACAACCTAATCAAGGAAGAAAATAAGTTTGATTAAAATTTGTTCAGTATTTTTTTCACTCGTTTGATCGTCCTCGTTATTTTTGATCTTCTGCAATTCGTTATTTCAATTAAAAAAAAATATTTCTCTACACTAACCTTCCATCCCTTGCTTGCCATCATAATTTTTATATAAAACGTTTACGAACAATAAGAACAACTAAATTTATCTGTACGGAGTGTCGAACATTCTTTTAAGGAGAACGAGCAGATGGCGCTTGTGTTAACGCCAACCTGGCGCCCCATAACTTTCTATATTAAGGTGTTATAAAATTAATGAATATAACTTCAAGGGTGATTTACAAGATAAGAACAAAATTTAATTAAATGCCAGATACAACGAATAAGTGTCTACAATATGATCCGAAAAAATCGGAGGGGGAATGATAGCATTATCTCCTTGTTAGTTATCACAAATTGAGAAAACAAATGGTACATACATTCTAATATGCAGTTTTCAACATGTAGTAAATTTATTACTGTATACCTTACTGGGAATTTGAAAACATTACTGGAAATCAACTGAGACCAGAAAATTTTATATATTTGTATGAACTCATATCTTTTTTGTAGAAATTTTCTGTGAATTATTATGCAAATAGAATGCAACTGCAGTGACAAAAAATAATCTAAACAATAATATGTTTAAGGCTAAAAATAATCATTTTGTTTGAGAAAGAAGCAAATATTAGAATACTGTTAAGATATATTTATTTTTATCATATAAAATGGATGTATAATTTATTAATATTAATAATTTAGCAAAAGTAAATTATATTTATCGACTGGTAAAATATGTGCCGCCATCTAGCAGTACTAAGCTATTACTTCATTTTATCGTCTGGTAGAATAAGTACCGCCATCTAACGGTACTAGCTATTACTTTATCTTACTACTTGATAGACTATGTACCGTCACCTAATGATACTAGCTATTACTTAATCTTACCGGTTGGTAGAATATGTGCTGCCATCTAGCGGATGCCTAGCTATTATCAATGAGCATTGATTGAACTTTTCGTGGACTCGTGCATTGACGAATTTCTTCGTAGCTCATTGATTCTTGTAAATTGAAAACTTGGTAAAAGAATTTGTACAAGAATAGAGTTTCCTAAAAAAATGTATTCACCATTTGTTTTCTTAATTTATGATAACTAAATGTAAAAAAAAAAAAAAAATAAAAGAAAAGGAAAATAAAATAAATAAAGAGAGGTAGAAGAACGTAAAGAAGAATCTGCGTTGAGCTGCGTTGAGCCGTCAATACGCTATCTTTAAGCGGACCCGTTGACACGGACCGTAGAATTCTGAAACCAGTTCGTGAGAGACTTTAACATCGATACTTTGCTTTGGAGAAAGCACCTAATTATCGAGATAACGCGTATTCGCCGTGTCGATATCGTTTCACACGCGTATCGAACTATTCTCTCTCTCTCTCTCTCTCACTTTTTTTTTCTACCATATAGTTACTCCCACGGTATCTTGAAACTTGTCGTTTCTAAGAGATCCTTCCTCGTTTCCCTTTTTTTCATCTTCTTTGTATACCTCATTTTTATTCACAATTTATAAAATATTTCAATGTAAATTTTTTTTTTTTTTTTCAAATATTTTTACAAAATAATTACTCAACCTTTTTATATTATGGAAGTGATGTAAGTTCATTTTTGTGAAGAAAATTGATTTAACCGATTTAAGAATAAATAATCTTATTTATTCTTAAATTATATATTATAATATAAAAAATATTATAAATTATGATATATTAAATATTAAATATATTAAATTATATTAAATTAAATATTATATTATATTACATTATATTATATATTATATATT